ATGTATGGCATCTTCAGTAACTGGAGATGTAAACAACTAAAAAAATTTTGAAGAATAACCAGGTATATTTTTAAAATTATTATTAGTCACTTTATTGGCCAAGTACTTGCTGCTTTCTGTATGTACAGTTGGTAGATGCCAAACAGTTGCAGTGGTTTTGCATTTGTGCTATTTTTACAACTAAGAGACAGCTGCTACTCTTGAAATGTAGAAAATTTATTTACTTTATGATCACCTTGTGATCGAATTGGGTGAATGAATCAAGATGTAGTGGAATGTTTTGGTTTTGTTCTGTGTAGAAAGCAAGGGAAAATGGCAGAAAACTTACCAAGGTCCAAAGAGCTGGGCAGCTGAATTAATGAATGAACAGAGCCAGACAAAACTCCTGGGACACTGCTCTCCTACTAGAATTATATAGTGTTTTAAGTAGAAAGCAAAACTTTTATGTAGAAACTTAATTTCTCTATGCATAAGTCTCTGATTTTTACTCTGAAATGTTGAGGTCCATCTTCACTGGTCTATCTTTTTGACCCTGCATGCTTCTCCCAGTTCTGGTTTGTTTCTGTTGTATTCACAAAGTGAGAACTCTTGCTTGTGCTTCCATCATTTCCTGTTACAGCTGCCTGACCTCCTCTTTCCTCTCTGGTCTTTCTGCAAGTCCTTAAAAAAAGACTCCCAAAGAAACACAGAGGGAAGTGGCCAAGAACTTAATTACATGTTATTTGGAAGTTCCTTGTAATAATCCTTTCTGTGTCACTTTCCTCTTGATGAAGTTCAGATTTCTTCCCACAAATAATCAGGTTGTTGAATCACTGTGTTCTGATAAGTCTATGCAATTAAAAAAAACAAAACCAAAAACCTTTATATTTTTGTAAGCCAGAAGTGAAGTCATGAGAACAGACAGATGAGATCAAGATCCTCATCAAAACATGAAAGAAGGGAAAAGGAATCTATATAAAACAAGGAAATAATCATTCTCATTTTACTTATTCCTGAAATCCTTTCAGAAGGCAACTTGGCCTAGAGCACACACAGTGAAAAATTATGATATATGTTCTTGTGAGCTTGTTTGAGTTTCACAGACTTTTTTAAAAATAAGGACTCAGCAAAATTGTTCAGATGATCAGTTTATCATCTTTCTGCCTCTTGCTTTCTATAGTCCAGTTTGCTGCTTAAACACTTACTGTTTTTTACATTTTTAAAATTTATTCCTATTTTATTTCCTATTCAGTGAGGTCTAAACCAGGCTAAATCACACCTTTAAATTCTCCAAGACACTAATGTCAGAACTGATTGCTAAATTTTTTCCAAACATGGCTACTGAGACACAGGCAGTCATCTGAAATCTCCAATTGTATTGAAATCATCTATGCTCACTGTTCTTTACTGATCTGCAGGAAATCCCTGGTTTTCTTATGCAGGAGTACATTTGTCTTTTATATTTCCTTTAAGAGTATTCTCTGAACTGTGCTTGTTAAGCTTAGATAAAACCGTTTGCTAATGGTTGTAATTTTCACTTTTGGAATATGATCTTTAAGCATCATCATTAGAAAGTCAGTGTAATATAATTCCATGCTTTTATATTGACTTTAAATTTTTTTCATCATCTATCTCTTAATTTTTTTTACCCCTTCAAGGAACTGAATGGCTTATGCTGTTTAGGTACAGGGCAGCTATATTTAACTTTACTAGGACAGAAACATTTAGAGAATATTTAACTTTTCTTTTAGCAGTTTATTAGAGAAAATGAGGAGAGTTCAGTTTTCCCATAATGAAACTGCTCAGTCATTCTATAAAAAGGGACGAAAATAAGTGGTGATATAACTTGCCTACCTTAAAGCTATTTAAGGCATTTGAATAGCAAATTTATGACCACAGAAATTTCCAGTTGCATTAACTGACTGAATTGAAGTTATATCTTTACTGACATTGTGAAAACTCTTCAAAGTAGTGTTTTGTGATTCTTTTCTCAAAGACAGAGATGGAAATTTCATGGGATGTGGCTTTTGAAACAAATAATTATTTCTGGGAGACAGTCTGCTGCCTGAGCATGCCTGGTATTCTCTGTTTACCTGATAAAACACTAGCTTGTAACACTACCCAAATTCTTAATGCACATGTACAAGCAGTTCCCTTTTTACCCAGTTTCAACTATGTTGAGACTCATCTTTCACCTTAAACGGGATTATGTTTTTTTAATGTCAGACCATAGAAGGTCAGTGGTCTGAGGGACATTAGTACTGTTCTTTGAGCCTTAGACAGGTAGAAGAAGCAGAACAGTAAAATGCTGAAGATGAGAGTATACTTTAGAAGGCTTATGCCAGCCTATATTCCTTTGAGGTCAAATTTGGGCAGATAATAGTAACTTGAATACAGTTATCTCCTATTGTATAAAGTTAACTTGATTATGCGATCTTAGGATGCTTGAGACGTTCTAGCACTAGGCAGTGAATTATAGTTTCAGTATTAACTGTTTGTGGTGCTACTACACTTTCTTACATCAGAGGTTAAAAATTACTGTTTTGGGATCATGTCTTCTGCATTTTGCCTTCACTATAGGGAGGGGGTAAACCCTACAACCATTAGAATTGCATTTTGCATTGTGTACTATTTTAAAATGGAGGAGAGAGAAAATGATCCTCCTTTGAGTACAGTTAAAATCTTCTGTCAATGTAATTGTGCTGTTCGGCATAAAATAGGTTTGACCATGTTTTCCACCAACTTTTATTTCTTGTTAGAAAGTAAGGTTCTAAATAGAAATGGGATTCCTTTTCCTTATTGTCTTTTCTCAGAATTAAGACTGCATGCTGGACTGTTTCCTAGAAACGTACACGTTTCAATAGCTAGTTTTGCAAAATCAGTGGTTTTTTTCGTAGTGGAGACTTTTCGTTGCTCTTTTGGCTATTGGTGGACAACAGCCGAAGAAAACACTGAGAATATGTATTTTGATGAAAGAAGATAATGTAATTAATTACTAAACAAAAAATGTTCAGTGTGTTTATTTTAAAGAGAATAGGATTATTTTTAAACCTACACAAGTGAAAATGGTGCCTATTTCTTTGTTTAGTTTAAACATTGTTAGCAAATCTAGTGGCTCTCTTTTGCATCCTCTTCAGATGGATAAATTCTATAAGGTAATAATAATCTTGATTCTTTCAGAAAGAGAAGTTGTTACTATCATGCAAAATAATAAATGCCTTTAGTAGAATGTCCTAAAAACTGTTGTTATATTGCATGCCTGCACTGTAAGAACTATATTGCATGCTTGCATTGTAAGAACTGAAGCTGATTTTGTAGTATACAATCAGCTACAGCATTATAGATGGCAGATGAATAAAATGTTAAAAGGATACTTGTACATAAATACTTTAAAAGTACACTGATGTACTTTAAGTACATCAGAATGTAAATCTGCAGTGGAAAATCTTCCCATTTCAGAAATTTTATGAATGGTGCTTCATCACTGCTTGTGCTTAGATTTAAGTTAAAAAATAATTCAGAATGTTTAAATAAAGTACCTAGTTATAATTACAATAATTTCAGAATGCATTTTAAATCAAGGAACTATGCTTTCATGTGCACATACTTACATGTATTGTGTATTTGTTTTTAAATGAAAAGAAACCTGGTCTCCATCTTCCTGTTGACATCAAACAATCCTCTGATATGCAAATCTAGCTATGGGGAGAACAGATACACAGGGTTTGTTTGGATTCAGTCCAACACTGAGAGAAAATTATATTTAAAGAAGTAATTCATATGCTTTGCCTTATTTAAATGAAAATGCATTTTGAAATAATCCCGATAACTAAAAACATTTTGGTGAGATGATATGATCCTTTGTATGATTGATGCATTTCGCTATAGCTAGTTCAGAAACATCTTTCTCATGCTCCTGCGTGTCTCTAATGTGTAGATGCAGCTGTCAACTTCTCAGTGGCACACTTTAACATAGTGTATGAAATTGTTTTTTTTTTTTTCAGAGTAATAGATGTTTGTTACATAAACTTCCTTAGGGTGTGCATGAGTGTGAAGAGTGTGTACACATGCTATTAAAATGCGTCACTATTAAAATACTTTGCTTTCCATCTAAAAATTTGCTAATGTTTGTGTATTTTTTTCATGTGTTTAAAATCTGTCAAAATGTGAATTTTTTAAAAATAGAGATTAAATGAGCAACAATTTTTCAGTTGTCTTACCTTTAGCTGCAAAAATTATAACGATCAAACTTGCACATTTTAGCATTGGCTGAATTCCAAGTTTTAAGTATGTATTTTTGGAGGACTCTGGTTTTCTAGTCCCCGACTATAATATTTGAAGGAGATGTGTGTAGCAAAGTGTAATTATGTTTCACGTGAAGCTTTAACAGGCCATTGAACTGTTACTAGTGATCAGTAAGGGTTGTTTATACAGGATAGAAAATAATTCAATGGGAGTTAGATCACTATGAAACTTTAAGAAATCCTGCAGTCCCCTTTTATGTATTGCAGAAGTTTCTAAGACTAATCTGATCGACTCTTCTTATGTGATCTTTGTGGTTGTGTGTAATTATATTTTTTTTCTTCTAGCTGGAAAAGGAGGATATGGAAATTGGCGTTGATGAAAGGCAGTATTTTGTTTGGGAAGTTCTGTGGCACATAACTCTTATATCTGACCTTCATTTGTTCTGTGGCCACTTAATCTATACTAGACTGTTCTGACCGCATTAATCTTGCACTGAGGATTGCTAAATACCATATAAATCCTTTTTTGTAATAGGAGATTTATTTCATGAATGTCGTTTATGGTTCTGTGTGTTGACTGACTTAAACACATATATTGATTATACATGCATTAATATTTAAGGAAAAAGCTTTTTATGTCAAGAAATCTTGTTAAACCTTTCTGATTAGGTTGTGAGCCTCTTATATTTGTTTTTTTAAATAAAAGATTTTCTATATTTTTTCATTTTATGCAAGTTTTACATTTTAATATTCAGTGACTATCCTTTTTTCTTTAAGCATTTTAAGAAACAGAAGAGGTTGATTCCTGAAAGAACAGTTTGGAAGTACTTTGTTCAGCTTTGCAGTGCTTTGGAACATATGCATTCTCGTCGTGTTATGCATCGAGGTAATATAGGATCAAAGATGATTTGTCTTTACTAAACCTTTTACTGTGTGAGAATTGCGCCGATTCAGTATAAATGACATCAAGTAACATAATGGAATCAGTTTTGACAGCTGGCACAATGTATGTTTCTGTAATGTTTTATAAGTAATGGAAAAGTGTGACAGAAGTTTGTGGTTGTACATTTGCTGTGGTAGGCATTTGTTTGCAGGAATGGCTTGCAATACCAAGTTTTCACAAAAAGTGGTAGTACTGTGAGTGGTAGAGACCCTGCTACTGCTACCTCTTTGCTTGCTCAATTCATTTTTCTGGCTCTTATTTTCTGTCCTGTTCTTATATTTACCCTTTGTCTCTCCCAAGTATTGTTACCTGCATTCTTGCACAGCTATCCATCCATTCTTTTCACCTCTTGCACCTTTTTTTCTTAGAAAATCATTTGCTGCTAGCCATGCCTTCTGGTGATGTATAGGCCCTTCTCCTACTCCCTTCTTCACTGGATTATGTGCAGCCGTCACCATTTGAACATTTTCTCCTCTTCTCTGCTCCCCTCCACTATTCCAATCTCTGTGTCAAGTACTGTGTCCCAACAGCCCTTGTAGTTGCCAACTATCCCTGTCAGTTACTAAATCTTTTACCCATTTTAAACCTGTGTTCTGCTGTCTCCTCCGTATGTTGTCTTCATTTCACCTTGTAACTCTGAGTCAAAGAAAACAGATCGTAGCTTCGCAGATGTACAGGGTTTTTTTTTGCCTTGGAAATCCCTCTGGCTATGAGCTGCAAGTTCTGTATGGGCTGTCTCTCTGGGTTCAGGTAAAATTGCATGTCTTATGTTGGTAGCTTCCTTCTGCTGGTGTGCAAGTAGCTGCCTGAAAGCAAAAGTCCCTTTGTCATTTGCAGCTAGAGATGTTGCAGATCAATTTAGATGCTCCTGCCAATGCAAATGGCTTTCCATTATAATTCTCCTTTTTTTTTTTTTTTTTTTCCTTTACACATTTGTACAGATATCTGAATATGAAAATTAGACAAAGGGAAGGACATAAAATTACAGATTGTTTCCATAGGGTATGGGTATCTTAATGCTGTTATGACTAAAGCACATTATTTCATTATATTTTTAGCTCAAAACCAAAATTAGTTTAAATTCCTTAAACAGAAGTACTACCTTCAAAGTTTCTGGCAAACCTATGGCTGATCTAACAATTCCATGGTTACACCCCAAAACCAATGACAATTAAAGCTATTTTTAAGTTGAGCTTATATCTGTTTTGGATTGTTATACAAGGGGTGATCCAGACTCCTGAAAACTAGGTCAGATAGCAGTATAACATAATTGCTTCTGTCTTCCCCTCCAAAACTTACAAGGTTTTGTAGCTTTTATTGGAAAGCTGAAAATGCTGGTGTTTGAAGGGTTATTAACCATTCCTTTTACTGTACCAGTATCTTATGAAAACTGTAATTCCCTCTTATCAGAGTTAAGTGATTTTTCTGTAAGTTACGAGCCACAGTATGTTGCTCTTGAGCTGAGTAAGAGCTAAACATGCTTGCCAAACAAATACCAGTTTATTTAGAAGACTACCAGGATAGGTACTTGTTAAAAATCATAAAATAAAAATCTGTGTCTCTAAAGGATGGAATTAAAACTTAAACCGAATATTACTTGTGAAAAATAACTGTCTGGGGTATACATCATTGTTTTTCTTTGTTTCTACTTGATTAGCCCAATTCCATTGATGAGTTCAAATAACCATTCTCCTGAGTAAAACTTGCTTTGCTTTTTAATGCCTGCTATTAAAAAGAATCAGTTACCTATTTCAAATAAATACCATCATGCCACTGTAGGTAATCTAATCAGCAAAAGTGATGAAAAATATGTTTTACAGTTCTTTAAAACATTTTTGGTCTCTTACTTACGACACAATGAGAGGTTTTTTAGTTCTAATGGAAGTCCTTATATATAGCTTGTATAAAGTAGTAAAGAACTCCCTGTATATGCTGCTTTGGTCTGGCATTTTTTTGTTTTGGTTTTTATTGTTGGTTGTTGGGGGTTTTTTTCTTAATACTTTTCATGGCTCTTACTTTTTTGCTTGAGTGATGTTTGTATTATTAGAACAGTTAAGTTGAAATTCCAAATGCCTGACTCGTTCTTCCTGAACAACACAGTCAAATTTTGTTAATATTAGCTGTAAACAAAAGCTTCTTTTGGTCAATTTTTAAGAGTAGTAGCTTTTCTTGGAACCTCACTGTAACTTTTAAATTTTTTAAATTTTTTTTTCAGATATAAAACCAGCTAATGTGTTCATTACAGCTACAGGGGTAGTAAAGCTTGGAGACCTTGGGCTTGGTCGATTTTTCAGCTCCAAAACCACAGCTGCACATTCTTTAGGTAAGCTTTCTCTGAGGTACAGGTGTTGGGGAGGTGGACTTTTTGACATGGTGGAAGTACCGTGCCCACTCAAGGAAGAAAGGGGCTAGGTCCAGCTAAAGCTTTTCTTAATAATAAAAAATGTCAGCACAAATACAGAAAAGCTGTAATACTGAGGTGTCACTTTCAGCAGTATAGCTTGCTGCTTTTTTTTTTCTCCACCTTTGTATCATTTAATGTACATGCCTGGCTCAAAAAAAGTTTTCATGTCAGTAGTGTTTTCTAGAAATACTAGGAAAAAATAAGATCAGTAATACAGATGTATTTTTAAAAATTCTTTTGAACTTTAATCAGTGTTGGAAAGAATCTAGTAATTCTGTGTGCCTCTGTGGGTAGCACCGATGACATGTCAGTTATATGCTTTGAAAGGGGTAACAGAGGAGCTTCCCTGTTCTAAGATGGTTTCTCAATATAAGCAAGTTGAGGAGAGAACAGAATTAAGCTTTATGAACCATAAAGGCTTTCAAAACAAACAAAAAAACCCACCAAAACCCCCAAAACAAATAACAAAAGCAAATCCCCAAAAAATTATTTTTGTAAGAAAAAGAAAACAACATTTCTGAAATGCCTGACTTATTCTTTGCTAACATATAAAACCCCCCCATTTTATTGTCTTTTTCCAAACACAATTTTAATTTAATTTTTACAGTTTGAGTAGCATGTGGAAACTAGGATGATTAAGTAAAAATTTGGCAGATATTTTAAGTGTATGGACGAATGTGTAATGTTAAGTGTATGGGAATGGACAAATGACACTTGTAAATAGAGTAGCATCTGTTCTAAGAGAAATGTAAGAATTAGTGTTTATAGTATGGTTATGTAATCTTTTTAGTTAAGAAACAACCTCTTTTCCTCTGCTGAAGTGGCTTTGTTTAGTGGCTGCTGAGTTCAAACCTGTTCACTGACTGCAAAGGGTGTGAAATGAACTTTTAGTCCTGTCAAGAGAAGGACCATTGATGGCAGCATCCAGAATTGTCTCCTGTTCCTTGTAAAGGGTATTGAGGCAGGCAGAGCACCTTACTGATACTTGATTAGAGATAAGTAAAATCACTTCAAATGCTGCTCAATGAGAATTTTTGACAAATGATAGTGACAATTCTGTAATTAGACATTTGGATATTTTTACGTTTGCCAAGAGTGTATGATACAGAAGATAATATCTAAGAAAGCCAAGAATAATTAAGTAATACTTACAGTCCCTAATGGGAGGACACACAAAGAATTGTTTGCTCAGATGCTGATGTTTCTAATTAGACTATGAAATATCAGACTTCTTGGATTAAAATACACCATATTTATCCTCACCTCTTAATTTAAATTTGTTCGTATAATCCCAGTTATCAGTACAGTGTGGAAAAAGAGAGAGGATTGATGTTCAGCATGTTTATACCATATTTGAGGTGTGGGCAATACTTGTATTACGGCCAAAAAAAATATTTTAGAAAGGAAATCTTTGATCCTTCTCTGTCTTCTAGAAAGCCTTTGGTCACTTTTTTGTGTCTTCCTGTTTTTATCATGCTTGCTGCATACTAATACCGGTATAGTCAAAGCCATGAGTAACTGCGGAGATCTTAATAGCACTGAGGTGTAACTCAAAGATGTGCAATCTTGCATTGATAAAAAAGAGAAAGTGATGGAGGAGAAGCAGTGAGACCAGGATGGAAATGTGCTTGGGTTCCATGCTGAAGTTCAGATGTAACCCTAAAGATCTGATACTAGTTCATGGTACGGTGCTGCTGTTCATGCTGACATCATAGCCCAGTGACCCCTCTCTGGCAGCACTGTGGAGATCTTATTTGTCATAGTTGAGTCCTACTACTGCCTATGAATGGAAGAAGGAGGTTAAATGAGCAGTGTGAAGAGGGAATTGGTCTTGGACTGTATTTGCAGGAAGCTGTAAATCCTAATCTGTGAGTAGGAGTGCACAAAGAAGGTAAGAGTCAGTTGTGAGGGCGGGAGAGCTAGACTTGTGTTCTGAGACAGAAGTCAGGAAGCTAAAGAGAACAAACTGCTTCAACCCTGGCTTATTTCAGCTCGTTGCAGGGGAATGTTGCAAAGGGACTGAAGACTGAGCAAGAATTAAAAACAGCATAAAACCCCTAAGCCCTTTAATGCTCATCTCTTAAAAATACAAGTGTCATCCAGAGAGTGGGGGTAGGGGGATGGGAGCTTTGTTGCTAATGTTGGGTGCTGTGTCTTGGTAGAGGAGCTGTTGTTTTTTATTTTCCTTTTTCCCCATCTCTTGTTCTATTTCCCTCATAATTATGACCTGATGTCAGAACTCGGCCTACGAAAAAGGTTTTGTTCAGCTGTTAACTTAGGCTACAGTGGAGACAATGACACTCTGATTTATAATGTCACTAGAGACACTCCTTTTAAAAACGAATTTCTCATGCAGCATCTGATGATGATTTTCCAGAAATTTCTTTCAGAGTTGTATCTTTTTATGATTCCATAAAGCTTTGGTGCACAAAACTGAGTGAATTACAAACATATTATGTGTAACAATTTATACTTGTTTACAGGCTTTATAAAAATTTCAGCAGTGAAGTAGATACAGGCATTTGGAGATAAAGAAATGTACTAAAATTTTCATTAGCTACAGCTTCTAACTGCTAATTATGAATAATACTGATTTAGTTGGAATGCTTGCTGATGGTCCATTTGAAACAAATGAAAATACTGGACTGGACAGAGTTTGTTAATATTCTTAACTCTTTCTATACAGCCTTATCAAAACAGTAGAATTTTCTGTTGTGGCATATATATATACCTTTTTAAAAAGAGAAAATCTCTTCCAAAAAAGCAAAGGAAATGAAGGCATTTAGTATACTTGATTTGATACAAACTTGACAAAATTTGTTGGTTTCAGAAGACTATATTAGAAAGGGGAAGATGATCCAAGAAAGGCTTCTTATTCCTTTCCCTGTGACTGTGTGTGTTTGGGGGTGGGGGTGGTTGTTTGTTTTTTTTTTTTTTAATGGCTGAATGCCAAGCCTTATGCTTTTTGAAATCCTAGAATGGTTTGGGTTGGAAGGGACCATAAAGCTCATCTAGTTCCAACCCCCCTGCCATGGGTAGGGACACATTCCACTAGCCCAGGTTGCTCAAAGCCCCGTCCAACCTGGCCTTGAACACTGCCAGGGAGGGAGCAGCCACAGCTTCTTTGGGCAACCTGTGCCAGTGTCTCATTACCCTCACAGTAAAGAATTTCTTTCTTGGATCTAATCTAAGTCTACCCTCTCTGTTTACCCCTTGTCCTATCCCTACACTCTCTGATAAAGAGCCCCTCCCCGGTTTTCCTGTAGCCCCCTTTAGGTACTGGAAAGCCACTCTACAGTCTCCCTGGAGCCTTCTCTTCTCCAGGCTGAACTCCAACTCTTTCAGCCTGTCCTCACAGGGGAGGTGCTCCAGCCCCCTGATCATCCTCGTGGCCTCCTCTGGACCCCTCAATCAGGTCCATGTCCTTCTGATGTTGGTGCCCCCAGAGCTGGACACAGAACTGCAGGTGGGGTCTCGGGAGAGTGGAGTAGAGGGGGAGAATTTCCTCCCTTGACCTGCTGGCCACACTGCTCTTGATGCAGCCCAGGATACAGTTGGGTTTCTTGGCAGCAAAACACACATTGCTGCTGCAAGGCTGTTCTCAATCCACTTATCACCCAGCCTGTATTTTTGCTTGGGATTGCCCCTACCCATGTGCAGGACCTTGTACTTGGACTTGTTGAACTTCATGATGGCTGCAGAGGCCTATATCTCCAGCCTGTCCAGGTCCCTCTGGATGGCACATCCATTGCCTCCAGCTTGTTGACTGCACCACACATCCTGGTGGTGTTGTCAAACTCAATCCCACTGTCCATGACCCCAACAAAGATGTTTAACAGCACCGGTCCCAACACCAACCCCCGAGGAACACCACTCGTCAGTGCTCTCCGCATGGACATCGAGCTGTTGACTGCAACTCTTTCAGTGAAACTATCCAGTCATAAACCATATCTTTTGATTATGTAAATAAATGGAGCCTTTTATTTTTAACTGAAGTCATGTTTTTGAATTCTTTGAAAACAGAAGAGTTACTAATTTGATTTTAAGCTACTTCCTGAACTCTGATAGTTATGTATTCCAATGCATGGAATGTCAGTACTAATTATATGGCCTTTAAAAAAACTAGTCTATAAAACACCTTCTGAATCAGCCATTACTTGTTTTGTATAAGTAGTATTAGCATTTACGAGGCAGATTTTTCTCCCAGCTTAAAAATGCTTGAAATTACTTTGAGCTAATTACTGTATTTCATTAAACTTCTCAATGCATTTTTGGTTTCTAAGAGAAGGCAGTCTCCTCTTTAATTCAGATGCAGTGTGAGTTACATGTTTATGCAGGTAATAAGATGGACTGTTTATATCATAGCTCCCTTCATAATAGTTTCTTTGTCTCTGATCCTTCGGGTTCAACTTCCTGCCCCCTAATAACCACTGTTTCTATTATGTCCATTGCCTTTCCCAGTAGCAGAAAGCTTGCATAAAGAAACACTTACTGAATCTTCAGCATCTTTTAAAGGGAGGGAGCTCCAGAGCAGCAGCAGATTCTGAGGAAGCACTTTATTTTACCCAGGCCATTTTCAAGACGACTACTGTTCAGACCTGCATGTTATGCAAGACGTTCCAATGCAGTGAACAGAATGCTACAGTTACAAATTTTATTCTTAAAAACATAGGCACCTTAATGTGTTACGTCTTTGTCTTCTATTTCCCCACTACTATGACTTCAGGTGTGTAAAAAAGGTTGCATGTCTCTGTATTATTGTGATGCTGTATTTCACTTAACAGAAAAAAGAATAAAAAGGTCCAGGAGGAAGGAAACATAACATGTAAATACATCTGGTAGTTGCTTGCCAGCAGTACAGCTATGTACAGAGAATGCCTACCATTGTAAAGAATAGTTGCAGTTCCTTCAGTAGTTCCTGAATGTCAGAATAATGAATCTTTTGTGTCATGTTCTGTTAAAAACCATTTACAAATAGTAATGATGTCTAGATCTTCAGGTTGTTTTTGTGATTCAATGACTAATATAACTGTAATTTCAACTTCTTTCACTTCTTGGTCATTGGGGGCTTCAGGTTGTGTTACAGTTAAGGTGTTACACTAGGCTAAATGCTGTAAAATGATAGCATTTGTTCTTCCTTTTCAGTATCATCAATCTTTCACAGTCATATCAGACCCCTAATGTATCAGCAGGCTTCCCAGAGCTACTGGTTAAAATTACCTTTGCTTTTGGTAAACTATGAACCTTCAAACCTCTGTGTTTTCAGCTGCCCCTTGTGGATTCTGTGAAGCCTCTTTCTGGCACATTACTCACTGCCAGCTACTTGCCTGATGTCTCAGAGCAGCAAAGGCAGTGCTGCTGTAACCAGCTAAGAATCAGATTACTATAAAACTTATTTTTTGTTGTTAGATGAATTCTGCCAACAAAGGATCAGAATATACTAAATCAGTGTATTAATTAATCAAAGCAAAATGCAACTGAAAATTGTCAGAAGTGTCCAAGCTCCCAAGTCCTTGGGGTAAGCAAAATAAAAAAAATTAAAGGGGAAAGTGCAACAGTAAGGATAATAAAAATATGAAAGCTGTGTCACGTCAAATTTTGTTTAATTACAGTTTCCAATTTTAAGATAGCTGTCATTAAACACCTGTTAAAGTTGTTGATATATTAGAATAACAGAGTTGCTTCTGGATATTCTGGTAGCTCTTTTGGTATTGCAGTTTACCCATCTTCATGCTTACTCTTTCACAGGGAAAAGACCATCCCTCTTAACCATTCCTCTCTTGTGAGTGAATAGGAACATCCCATGAGAGTAAATGTTTTTCACAGTACTCCATCATTTTGAGTTGCCTTTCCCCAGCCTTTCTCCTTTTAAGCTCTTGATCTTTCACAGTCTCAGTTCAGAGTTGCAGTGATTTGTCAGGACTGCATGAAGGGAGCCTCTGGGGAGAGGGGCTGTGGCATCCTCTGCTTTCCTGGGGCTGAAAGTCTCCCCTGAAATATTTAGGGGGGCAAATCTATTGTAGCATGCATTATGGGACCTTTGTACTTGCATATCTCTTAGAGAAGCACGTTCTCAGTTTATCTGAGTTTGGAATATTGTTTTCAATATTATTTGACAAGGATATCAGTTGAAATTATGGGTTACTAGTAGCAGTGGCCTGACATAGGATGTGGTGATACTGGGTTTCCCAATCTTAGCTGAGCCTTTCGCATAGGAAAGTACCTTCCCCCTCCCCCCCTTCCTCCCTAAGAATGTATGACATAGTTTGAGATATCAGCCTTTCTAAAAGATGGGGCACATAGTCAAAGCAAAACTCTTAACTTTTGGAAATGGTTAGAGTTAAATTATTAATTTGATTAATGAAAACTATTAACTTGATTATTCAGATTTGGAATTACTTATATATTCACTATATCTGTTTCCGGTATTCATTCAGAGTTGAATTCTGAATAGATGAGGCTAGTTGAGAAGTGATATGAGATCTTTGTGTTAAATAAAATAGTGTGAGGTTCATACTCTTTATTTTTTGTGGTTTGCAGTGAGAATGCTGATTTTAATTTTTGGCTGTGCTGCAAGATGTTTAGTTTTGAAATAAGGTCAACTTATATTGACTTGACAGAATTCAGTTGGTTTTCATCATCAGGACTCAGCGCTTAAGAAAATTCTACACAATTGAAGTAAAAATCTGCATAGATCTATGACTTTTTGCTGCTAGGCAGTCATTTTGGGGGGATATAGTGAGAAAGTTCAGAGTCAATGCACCAAAATTGCTGTTAGCGTTATTTTTTGTAACTTTTTTTGTTGATCTGTCACATTTGAACTTGTCACTTAGATACTTTTTTTTTTTTAACTGTCTTTTTTTACGGAGCTGAAACATCTCTCAGAATTTCTCTCTTCTAAGTAACTTGTGACACAGATGGGTAGGGTCTGATTAAAATCAAGGGGAAAGATGTCCTGGAGTATCCAATGTAAATTTGCTCTGGGACAGTCCTAGTAAATGCTGCTTTTCAAGAGCAGATGTCTCCAGAGCCCACAGCTCTGAGATAGGATTAAGCTGGGACAACCACAGATTTGGGAGCTGAAAAGCCATCGCAGAGTCTAGTCCTGCAGCAGATGGCCGAGTCGCTTATAGGAACATTGGCTTCTGCTGGGCTCACAGGTTTTCTTCCCTTCCTCTCTCAGAAGATGAAGATCTGGGATTTCAGGCTCAGTTTTAGTTTCATATATTCAAACTGAATTGTGTTTATTAGTTTCAAAAGCAGCTTTTTCAGATTTGTTTATTTGCAAAAAAAAAAAAAAAAAAAAAAAATCAAGCCGCAGAAGTGAATTTCTAGCTGTTGTTATTTCCAGCCAGAGTAATAACAGTTTGGAAAGGAGCAGGGATATTTGTATGTGTGTAGTATGTTCCCTTGGTTCTCTTCAGAAGAAAATAATTACTTTTTAGTGTCTTTTAAAAGCAAAAATTGGAAGCATTCTACAACTGAATAATTCTGGTAATTAGACTTCAGTAGTAAAACTAAAGCTGCATTGGATGAAGTAGATACGACTCGTCAGTTTGATAGAAATACACACGAATTACAATTTCAGTTCATACTTATCTATGTGTAGCAAAATGAGAAATATAGAAGATGAAAAATGTTTTTCAGCCACAAAAAAAATGTACTTTTACTACTGTGTAACAACAGAAACTTTAATTCAAAAATACTTTTGTATTTATTGCAGTTGGTACACCTTATTATATGTCTCCAGAGAGAATACATGAAAATGGTTACAACTTCAAATCTGACATCTGGTCTCTAGGCTGTTTGCTGTATGAGGTAATATTGATATATATGGTGACCTTAATAATGCCATTGTACTCCTCCGCCCCCCCCCCCCCCC